TCCGTTATTCTGTTTGTTAGTCTGTTATATGCCACTGAGTGCTACACAATTCATGACCTACTAACCATAAGGGGCAGTGGGGTATAGATACCTACTTTGCCTCTGCCTGTTTTTAATCTATGAAATAGCTAATTAGAGGTTATTCCCTTCTCTCATTCTTCCAGGCAAATAAATGTACACAGAACACTTTTTTGGGAGTGTTTTCCTGATAGGATAGACATACTTAGCTGCCAATCTTTGCTAATCCCTATGATTTATTTCCTGAGAATAATTTTTCTTTCTGCTCGTTTTAAAATTTGCTTTGAGATTAGATTCTGATGCGCAGGAATGTTGACACTAGGACAAAATACTTCAAACTCCCACAACATCTGTCTCATAAATCCAGCACGGTTAAAGCAAAAATGTAAACAAGCAGGAGAATAAAAATTTCCAATGTAAGATATTCCTGTATATCTCTGTCGGGAGCCTCAGTTTTGCCACGGGTGCATTGCATTGGGCGTTCATTTGAGCAGACGTGGGGAAAACACGAATGTCTTCATATTTATTCTCATTTGATCAGCTGCACAGATGTGGCATTGTGTTTTGTTTGTTCATTTTATTTTAGCAGTCACTTTTAGCATTCCAAAATTCATCTCTTCTTTCCTTTGCTGGCCAAAGAATCTGCCACTTGGTTTGGTAGCAGTTCTGGTTTGCAGGAGTGTGTTTAAGTTATGGCTGAAAATTTAATCACCCAGTTTTCTTTCTCTGCTGTACAGGAAGTCCCCACTTGACACTCATGTTCTGTGACCATTCGAAGTTAAATGCTGCTCTATGAGGAGACTTATGACTGTTCCTCAAAGTTGTGGCCGTTGCAGCATCCCCATGGACCATATGGTTCTGATGCAGGTGCCTGGCAACCAGCTTCCAATTATGACTGACACAGCATCTTGCATTCATATAACTATTAAGAGTCGTGGTAGCACAGTGGTTAGAGTGCAGTACTGCAGGCTATTTCTGCTGACTGCTGGCTGCCTGCAATTTGGCAGTTTGAATCTTATCAGGCTCAAGGTTGACTCAGCCTTCCATCTTTCCGAGGTGGGTAAAATGAGGACTCAGATTGTTGGGGGCAATATGATGAGTCTGTAAACTGCTTAGAGAGGGAGGGCTGTAAAGCACTGTGAAGCGGTACATAAGTCTAAGTGCTATTGCTAGTATCATTCCCATTCATTATCACATATCTTCAGTGCCTGGAACGTCAATGGGGAAGCCAGCAGGAAGTAGAAAATGGCAATCACATAATCATGAGATGCTGCAGCTATGCTGGATTCGCCTTAACAATGGCAACTGGGATTACTGGAGCTGCCGTCATAAATCAGCCCAGTCACGTGACATTGTGTCTTATGACTCTCTTAGCAACAGAATTGCCTGCCTCAATTACCATCGTTAAGTGAGGAGTTTCTGTAATTATTCTATTAGAAAAGGTTTTTTTTTGTATCCATAGGAAGTGAACCCCACTGACTGCATTAATGTTTATTTCCAGTTAAGTGAATGTAGGAATACACTGTACTCTAAACTTATCCTTTAATTTTAACTAAGTCTCTTCTAAGCAAGACAAAATTGGAATCCAACATGAAATTCATTCCAGCCATATATATATAATTTTCTACTCTAACCCTTTAAGTTTTATTCTGTGTTTAGTTCTCATTTTTTCCCAATGGTTTGGTTTCTTTTTTCTTTTTTTTTTAAAGATCGCTGAATTGTTTTTACGTCAATCACTGTTTTGTTTTGTTGCTTTTTCTAAAAAAAAAAAAACAAAACCCTTACTCATTTCTGGCTTTCTTATTCAAATAAATGCTGGAGTTTCTTACAACAGAGATCAAAATCAAGTTATCAGGAAATTCAACAGCAGATAGTGATTGCACGTAGCCAACTGAAGTACCGTTTCGATAAATTTCTGAGCTGCCAGGTAGATTTAAAACTAAGCAAATAAACAGAGCGGGAAACATTTTGGGATGTGTCTTAAACTTTCCACGAAACGATTGTGTTTTTATTATGTAACTGAGAAGATTTTAAGATTGGCAGCATTGTTCCTGCAAGATGCTGTTCTGGTTTTCATTGTTGTTTCAGCTGGTCATGTTCACACAGCATCTCCTAGCAAAGCCCCTGCTGTGCTTCTGGCTCTAATCAAGAACATCCCAAGAAGACAGTTAGGAGCTGAAAAGCATTTTTGAACCAATCAGATTAGTCTGTGATCTAATTAAAACCAGGAAATGAGAGCAGGCTACTTCTGCTGATCACTGGCTGCCAGCAGTTTGGCAGTTCAAATCTCACCAGGCTAAAGGTTGACTCAGCCTTCCTGTCAGGTGAAATGTCTAACTTGCTTGTATATCTATTCCATACTACCCTGCAAGGGTTAACCCAACCACACAACCCATTATCCCCATAATCCCACCTTACCTTAAAGCTCCTCCCTTTGAGTACAAAAGGCCTCTCCCTCGTGGTCATCCAGCAGTTCCAGTTCCACATTTGTAAGGAAAGGACATAGGTCAGATACAGATGTAAAAGTAAGCTAATTCTATATATTTGAATATTTAATAAATAAGGGGAGATGTTAAGAAGTAAAAAAATTAAAAAAAAAATTACAATTAAATTATATATTTTCTTACAAACATTTTAACACACCATTTTAGGTCAGTCGACACAAGCTACAATACATTTTAAAAATGTGAACTGTACATAATTTTATAATATATTTTTATTTTAATCTCATCATTAATTTTTTCGGAGAATCGAGTTCAATGGATATTCGATCTTTGTCTCATTCTAACTCATGAAAAAAAAAGACAAAACGCGATTCTCCTATCCTTATTCTCTTAGACTGTACAGTTTAGATTACGGACCATTTCATCATAAAGCTTTTGAATAAAAAAAATGTCCACTATTTTGTGAAAAAAAAATAGTGAACATAATGTGAAAAAAGCGGACTGTCCGCTCAAATAGTGGACACCTGGCAACCAGGGACAAAATTCACTTAACGCTCTTGTCAGGCAACAGAAATTTGGAACTCAGTTGTGGTTGAAAGTTGAGGTATGTATGAATGTATGTATGTAGATTCTGGATGAAGAAGTGATTGGAGGCAGACCAAAGCTTAAATTTTACTTAACATAATTTAAATGTGGATGCCATTAATTGTCAGTTTAATGGAAGAGTCTCCATCTGATTAGTCTCTATCGATGTAATAATATTAAATCTCCATCACATTGTAAAGTACACTCGGCAAAACAGGGTGGGGCACTGGAGCCAACATGCAAGGCCTTTTTACGGGGTCAAGCTTTTTAGCAGCAGCTGCCAAACAAACTGGAATTCTTTCCGAGCACAAAATCTTCTTTAACAAGATTTATTGCGATGAAAAGGATGGAGTTACAACAATTTCAGCAGTTGACTATTTCACTTTCAATTTATTTCGCAATAAAAATATTCCAAGAATATCAATAAAGGGTAATTTTACATGAGACTGTCTGCTTTTGGAAGATGGCATATCCAGACTTCAAACTGTTTAAAGATCAAGGACCACGAAAAGGGAGCATGGTAAATAGCACACCCTTTACCTGGTCATACACGCCTCAGCCTCCGCTGGATAAATGGTGTTTCCTTTCAAAATCGTAATAATTGTTTTTTCATATATTCTGATATCTGTAAATTAATAGGTACTTGTTGGAAGAAATCTCCTTCTGGGTTCAGTTCCAAGTGGGGAAAAAGACACTGGACACATGGAGACTTTTCGGAAAGATGGTTTTAATGATGGACAGGATCACAGGCCTTGATGATGTTGGGTGAAGAAAACAAAATGGCAGGGATGCTGAGAGTGCCTGGGTTTTATGCCCTCTCTGGGCTTTTTGAATTTGAGCTTATATTCTGATTGGTTGTCATATTCCCATGGGGCCATGCAGGGGCAACTCTGTAGGTTGTGTTTGTGAGTCCCAAGCTCGACTGAGCCTTGCTGGGTGATGTAATCTTATTTATTTATTTATTTATTAGTTCGATTTATATGCCGCCCTTCTCCGGAGACTCAGGGCGGCTTACAATGCGTTAAGCAATAGCCTTCATACTTTTGTATATACCTGCTTAATAGGGCTTTCGGGGGCCATTAAGCGGTGTTCTTTTTTTTTAATACAAAGTCAGCTTATTGCCCCCACAATCCGGGTCCTCATTTTACCTACCTCGAAAGGATGGAAGGCTGAGTCAACCTTGAGCCTTGAGATTTGAACTTGCAGTAATTGCAGGCAGCTGGCAGCTAAGTACTACTTTAACAGCACTTAGTCCACTGCGCCACCAAGGCTCATCTTGCCATGTGGTGAGATGGGTCAGAGGGCTAATCCTACCTTTGTTGGAATTTGGGTGAAGGCATTTGCCTATGAATAGACCTAGCTATCTCTTTATCTCTTAAGTGTGGACATCTGCTGTGGGCTAGTGAGGATGGTGGGGGCTATTAAGAGTGAGTCTGTTTCCTGCTTAAAAACATGTTTCTCCGTTTTTCAACCAGGGAAATATAATATTCTGCCTTTTTAATATTTCCTAGAAGATTTCATTTTCCTAGGAGAGAGTGGGTGCTAACTTCCTACATACTATTTTAACAATCCAGTAGTCTCTTTTGTCCTTGTGTTAGGTGATACATTTTTGACCTTAAGAGTGATGTGTTACTAAGTGAGAGCAATTAATGAATGGAAAACCTTGCTTCCTTGAGTTTTGGGGTGCTCCATCACTGGAGATTTTCAAGAAAAGATTGGATATCCATTTGCCTGGGACTGCTGTCTTGGGCAGGGGCTTAAACTAGAAGACTTCCAAGGTCACATCCAGGCTTATGATTCTGTGATTCTAAGTGTTGTAGTTAATCCTACATCTCCTTTTCTATCCATCCGTGATCAAGAGTTTTACACAAACACACACACACACACAAATAAATGTTTGAAATATAATTATTCACCTCTGTTTTCATTGTGCTTTTTGTTCTTTACTTTCAGGGAACAACACAGATAACTTTCGATGTCTCCACGATGACTACTGCACGATTACTCAAGTAGACTTCTTGGGTCAGTCTTCCGGAATGGAGCCTTCACCATCATCAGATTAATCCCAGCAAGTTCACAGACCATCTGAAGTTGAGCGGGTTAGTATGAAAACTGTCATTGAAGAAGAATTCTTGATGCCTTTATGTTTTAAAGAATACCATGGCAACGTATTACTTAAATTAGAGTCAACGGGAAAATCAAATGCCAGCTAGTAATAATGGAAGAACTGCGTTGAACAAGCAGACATAAACAACTATGCGATAGTGTGTTCTTTAGAAAAGATGGCTCAACTTGGGGAGGTTTCTTACAAAACTACTTCAACCAATCGAAAACTAAAGTCAGGCCAAATATGAAGTCAGATTCTTTTTTTTCTTTTTTGCTAGCATACAATCAGCAACATTAAATGGGAGAAGTTCTCCAGAATTTCGCTAGTTCTGTTGGGAGGTTTTGGAGGTCAACTCTAAAACCTTCAGTCTTAGATCCAGACAACCCACTGGTCAAAGTTAAAAGGGAAATTTATGATTCAGCACAGCTTAAATTAGAAGATTGCACCATTTGGGCAAACAGGAGGCTTTAAACCTAAATAAGGTTTGCAAGTGAAGACTTAACTTAGTTCGGGCTAGTTTCCCTCTATCCCCTCCTCCTCCAGCTTCTTTAACAGTTCCACAAAGATGTCAAGAAAGCAATATTCTATTGAGCTGATGCAGGGTGTGTGTGTGTGTGTCAGACTCAATTTCATTGAGGACCGCATCAGAGTTGTGTTTGACCAGTTGAGGGGTTGGGGTGGACGTGGCCAGGGTGGGCATGGCCAGCTCGATGTCACCCGTGTCAGGGGTGCCTGTGTTGACCCAAGCCAGTGAAAACAGGCTCCTGAGCTCCGTTTTCGGCTGCGATGGCCGCCTGCAACCCTCTGCCAGCAAAAATGGAGCTTGGGGGGGGGGGCTCGCATGCATTTTCACTCGCAGAGGCACCATGGGCTGGTCCTTTGCTGTTTCTACGGCTGCCCCGTGGGCCAGATCTAAACACCCTGTGGGTTGGATCTGATCCCTGGGCCTTGAGTTTGACACCCCTGAGCTAATGGATCTGCTGAGCAGCTAACATTTAGATAACAAGATTTAAGTCAAAAGCCTTTTTTGGCATCCTGTCACAGGTGGCTCACACCTGTGATCCCTGGATCTGGTTTCTGACTTTGGCTATGTTGAACCTTTCTCCCCCCCACACACACACCATATTGCTTTTTTACAAAATCACACACATAGACCTCCACAAACACACAAACACCTGCCCCATCTGAGTGACTCAGAGATACATTCGAGCCATTTCCTTCATCGCCTCTCCTAGTCTGCAGCCTCCCTGACTCTCCTCACTCAGAATAGAATAGAATGGAATGGAATGGAATGGAATGGAATAAGAATAGAATAGAATAGAATAGAATAGAATAGAATAGAATAGAATAGAATAGAATAGAATAGAATAGAATAGAATAGAATAGAATAGAATAGAATTCTTTATTGGCCAAGTGTGATTGGACACACAAGGAATTTGTCTTTGGTGCATATGCTCTCAGTGTACATAAAAGAAAAGATACATTCGTCAAGAATCATAAGGTACAACACCTAATGATAGTCATAGGGAACAAATAAGCAATCAAATCGTACTAGGAAACAATCAATATAAATCGTAAGGATACAAGCAACAAAGTTACAGTCATACAGTCATAAGTGGGAGGAGATGGGTGATAGGAACGATGAGAAGAATAATAGTAATAATGCATACTTAGTGAATAGTTTGACAGTATTGAGGGAATTATTTGTTTAGCAAAGTGATGGCATTCGGGAAAAAACTGTCCTTGTGTCTAGTTGTTCTGGTGTGCAGTGCCCTATAGCGTCATTTTGAGGGTAGGAGTTGAAACAGTTTATGTCCAGGATGCGAGGGATCTGTAAATATTTTCACAGCCCTCTTTTTGGCTCGTGCAGTATGCAGGTCCTCCATGGAAGGCAGGTTGGTAGCCATTGTTTTTTCTGCAGTTCTAATGATCCTCTGAAGTCTGTGTCTCTTTTGTTGGGTTGCAGAACCAAACCAGACAGTTATAGAGGCGCAGATGACAGACTCAATCATTCCTCGGTAGAAGCAGAAAGAAGTAGGAAAACAGCAGAAAGCTGAAGAGATGGATTGGGGTTGGTTGGGGCCGGGGGGGGCAGGGGCAGAGGGAAGCAACCTCTTTTCCCCACCAATTGCAGAAAAATAATGACACGAAATTCGGATGAAGGAAAGAAAGTTGGCACCTGAATCCTGAATCTTGCCCTGAATAAATCTAAGCTAAAATATTTCATCACATTTCTTGAAAGTTTTCTACCCTTGAGTCCTCAAAGGTATAAAACTTTAAGGAAGTGGGCAGACACATTTTAGCTTAGAATTTGTCCGGACATCCTCCTCCTCGTATGCAAAAAGCTAGAAGAGTATTTGGAGGCTCTCAAGGTGTTCTTCTTTTACTTTTATTTTGCTGCTTCCTCTTTATGATAGGATGGCAGGGAGAAGTATAATTTTGTATGCAAATGGGTAGCTATGTAAGGGATCCTTGACTTATAACCACAATTGGGACTGGAATTTTGGTTGTACGTTGTGATGGTTGTAAATTAAGGCACTCATGTGGCTGGATTCAATTTTATGATTGTTTGACAGTAGTTATTAAGTGTATCATACAGTCGTAAGTCTGAACCCTTTCTCCTGAATGGGTCGCTTTTTGCTAGAAACGGGCAATAAAATTGTGATTGTGTGACCATGGGATGCTGCAACCAGTTGTAAAATGTGAGCTGTTGCCAAGTGTCCCTCCCCAAAAAAAAAATGTAATCATGCAAAGGGGGGGGGGTGGCAGCCCTAGATTTCATGATAGCTAGAAGTAATTTAGAGATCAGAAAGAAAGAAAAAAGAAAGAGAGAGAGAGAGAGAGAGAAAGAAGAAAGAAAGAGAGAGAGAGAGAGAGAGAGAGAGAAAGAAAGAAAGAAAGAAAGAAAGAAAGAAAGAAAGAAAGAAAGAAAGAAAGAAAGAAAGAAAGACAGACGGCAGGGAGAGATAGAAAGAGAGAAAGAAAGAAGAAAGAAATAGAGAGAGAAAGAAAGAAATAGAAAGAAAGAAAGAAAGAAGAAAAAGAAAGAAAGAAAGAAAGAAAGAAAGAAAGAAAGAAAGAAAGAAAGAAAGAAAGAAAGAAGGTTATGGCACTGACCATCTATTCTTCCCCAAGGCATGCAAACTGTTGCTGACCAATTACGACTAATAAAGGCAGGATACAAATAAATACGGGCAGTTCTCGACTTGAGCCCAAAGTTTATGTGGCTAAGTGAAACATTTGATAAGTGAGTTTTGACCCATTTTGCCAATTACCTTGCCAGACTTCTTAAATGAATCATTGCACTTGTTAAATTAGTAATGTGGGTTGTTCAGTGAATCCAGATTCCCCGTGGACTTTGCTTGTCGGAAAGTCGCAAAAGCAGATCACATGACCCCGAGACATTGCAACCGTCATAAATATGAGCCAGTTGCCAAGCATCCAAATTCTGATTATGTGACCATAAGTCATAAGTGTGAAAAATGGTCCTTAGTCACTTTTTTTCAGGGCTGTTGTTAAGTTAAGTTTACTTTATTGTCATTGCACATGGTACAACGAAATTAAATGCCATCTTCAGTGTACGTTATAACTATAAAAATAAAAACACAAATACACATCTTCACATTCTATATAATTGAAATTGAAAACCCCTGATATTGCATTAATATTGCACTATACAGTAGAATTCAATATAGTTACTGCCCTGGGATAGAAGCTGTTTTTCAGCCTATTTGTCCTTGTTTTTATTATCCTGTACCGTCTGCCAGATGGTAATAGTTCAAAAAAAAGGTGCCCAGGATGAGATGGATCCTTAAGAATGTTTTGAAGTTTCTTAAGGCAGCGGGAGCTATAAAGCTCTTCCAAGGAGAGGAGAAGGCAACTGTTGATCCTCTGGGCAATGATGTTAACCCTCTGGAGCGCTGTCCTATCTGCCCCTGGGCAATTGGCAAACCATTGTAACCTTGAACAGTCACTAAAGGAACTGTTGTAAGTCAAGAACTATCTGTATAATAATAAAAGCAATTTAAAAACAGCTACTCAAACTGACAACTGTTCACCTAAGCCGTTCCAAATGAAATGATTTATGTCCTTCTGGAAACTGCAACAAGAATAGAGTATTTCAAGCCTAAATCACTGGAAATCAGGAGAAGAATTTGTGAGTGTGCTTCTCTGTTTGTAACTATATTCTTCCTGGGATGTGTCTTGTTATGTCCTTATAAGGACATCCGCCCGGATTGGCTGCCAGCCATCGGGCGGGAAAGTTTGAATCGCTGTCAGGGGCGGTGCGACTGCCGGAGCGAATATAAGGAGAGCTCCGGCAGCGCACAGCCAGTCTTGCTACTGTTTCTTGTTCTCAATAAAGTTACTAATGTAACGAGCTGGTCGCGTCTTCCATTCCTGCGCCGATCTAACACTGGCGACGAAGGACTAGAGGAAAGAGACGAACCTCGTGGCACCAAGCCAACAAGACCAAGACGCCGGGACCTGAAACCACAGTAGGCATTCCCGAAGGCATGGCATCCGCTGAAGTCACTTTGCCAGCCCTTGCGCCTTTCCGCCCAGGGAAGGACAAGTGGAAATCCTACGTGGTCAAATTCCGGCAATACCTGAGAGGCAACAACATCAGGGATGCCGATGATGACCGGAAAAAGGGCATCTTCCTGGCCAACTGCGGCTCCGAAGTCCTGGATATGGCAATCGATCTCGTAGCACCACGAGACATCGAAGAAGTGCCATGGACGGACCTGCTGCAGACCCTGGAAGAATACTATGCCCCAACTGGAACACCAGTGGCGAACCGTTTCACCTTCCATCAGAGGGACCAAAAGGAAGGTGAGACCATCAAAGAATTCGTGGCTGCCCTGCGCCAGATCGCAGCCAGCTGCGAGTTCGACCACGTGGACAACGCCATCGCTGACCGTGTGGTTTTCGGCATGAGGGACAGAAGCCTGCAAAAGAAATTCCTGAGCAGGAAGAAACTCGTGCTCAAGG